ATCCAAACCCTTGAGCAACTCTTCTGTAGAAACAGAAAAAGACAATCTGGGAGCCTATCAGTCCCACAGAAAGACTTAAGAGCATAAAAGCAAGATTATCCAAACAAACTCACTGGTAAACAAGTTCTGTGCCAAAAGCACAAGGAGCAGTTATTATCTAGTGCTTTCTTCTGCTAACATAGTTCTGAGACACTGATACTCAACAAAACTGGGGCTTTCTTAAGCATCTGAAAAAGGTCAGAGAAATGCAAGACAGCCAGTTGTACAGCACTCCAGGTTACACCAGTGCTCAGGACACTGCTTAATTTATTGTATGAGAAAAGGGAACAGCAGATGCCCTGCTACGCTGAGTGGACACCGATTCTGGGATAGATATAGCAAGGTTTGTAGGAAGAGGCAAAATCTTTTATGACCAACTGAGAGCAGATGCCCTCTTCTCCCACTGCAACCCCTTGTAAGCTTCACACTGCTGAGGGAAAAATTAATTCAGCTGAAAAAGACATATTTTGGGCCTCTTCTTTCCTTGGAAAATGTGCTAGTCACAGTGACAAATAAAGCACTCATCACTGTCTACCTTCTCAATACCCCCAGCAAAACAAGCTTTAATTTAAAAGTGTCATTTTATCACGGTAACTGTATCTACATTACAGGATTCGACTGGCAGAGCTGCACTAGGTAAGGATGTACATGCTGATTAATGCAGCTGTCCCAAGCACTTGTAGCAGGAACGACCTTATAAGCACGTCCACAGGGAGTTAAAGTCACATAATCACGTTGCAAATCCATGCCCCCTCCTTGATATCAGTTTAATTTTCCTAAGTAGATGACCCTTAAGGGTCATAGGCAAGAAAAAATGAGCTATAAACTTCTCAACTTGAAACTTGATTGTGATTTTTTTTCCCCATGAGGATATACCTTTGTTTGGTACTTTCTTGTATACAGTACATTCTCTTGTACTGTCAACCCACTAAACAAACCAAACTAAAAACACAAAGAAGTAAACAGAAAAAAAGTGACCTCTGTGTTAGGGGAGAAAAAAAACACAGTGCAGGTGCTGCAAGAAAGTAAACAATGTCATAAAAAAAAGGAAGGAACAAAGGGCAACATTTTGGTCTTCAAGTTTTGAATAGAAAATAGCAAACGCTGTCATTAATATATTTTAGACAGTGTACTAAGACTAGTAATAAGTAGGAACAAGTTAAGTAATGGGTAAGAGGTTAAGAAGTTAAAACTAGTAATAAGTAAGAAGTAAGCCCGATATATGATACAGAATCTGATGGGACCAGAAGCTAAGGTAGTAATTTCATTTGAAACCAGGTAAAATTCTGAAGAGAACTTCACACAAGGACATTCTCACATCCCTGGTGACGTTAAAAAATCTAATATGGCAAAACACACATGACACAAAACTCAGGGTCACAGAAGGGATTTTGATCTGGGCCTTTTGTTATCCTGTTACTCTCCTGGGGATCAGCATAATCTGCAAGGCCCTCAATCACTCATACTGGAAATCTTAAAGCTGTTAAAATACCTTGGGCTTGTTTTGTGGCTTGCAGTATGCTCTGGAAGGTAAAGGACAAAGAATTAACAAGAAGCCCAGCCCTTTGTGTGGAAATGAAAGGCAATCTGAACCTGAGGCTATCTTCTCAGGAGACACATGAATTGGTCAGCTAGTCAGCCACAGCTTCAAGCTTGGCAAGATGCTACGTTTTGAAGGGCAAAATCGAAAACCTGGCATTTAAAAATGTCTGCAAGATCATTTTACCTAACCAGAAGCCAGCACAATCATCCTTTGGGTGCCTTCTTCTAGCAAAGCTCACACTTCCAAAGGATTCAATGTGACTTTGGCTTTGCAAAAGAAAAACTCAAGGAGAAGGGAGCTCACAGATGCCAAAGAAGCAGTCCATGAACACAGTTTACCCCACTGCATTTCTCAAGCACCTTCCAAAGCAGTCCTTAATACACCAAATCATTATTACTCTCCCTACATGCTGACACTGGGCAGCAGGCACCTTGAAATGCTCTACCACACCAGCCAGCTCTGTTCTGAAGCAAGAAACTCCTCTTTTTCCAATGAAGTGAAGGATCAGACAAACAAAGCCTATATTTAACTTCCTGTTCGCTGAGGCAGTCGCAAACAAGTCCCTGTAAACACTCTGCAGGTCACAAATTCCCAATATCTTATCTAAATGTTAAGCTGCTGAAGTAGATCTCAAAGCTCTTTCCAACAGGCTTTCTTGAGTGCCACTTACAGCAACTGAGGCCACTGGTTATGTAACAGAGCTGTAAAGCCAAAGCCAAAAGGCAATAATTTGTTAACCTGATCTATTGTCAAATGGATTTGCATCTAACTATTAAGTGCAAAAGCTACACATATATAAGAAGTAAAAATTTTCTGCCCCATATGCTAAAAAGGCACAGCACACACTCATTCTGGAAGTCACACAGACTATGGCAAGTTTGTTTTTTGTCAAGTCATGTCTCTGTCAAGTATATAAAAGCTACCTTGAGTTTTCACACTTCCAATTCTTCTAAAGATGCTGGAAGGCCACACTGCAGGTTGGTTTTTGTTTTGGGTTTTGTTTTTTTTTCCCCCCCTACAAAACAAGTCTGCTAAATCACATGTATTCTCACAGCCACAATATATCATGGGTCATCTATACCTAGGGAAAACAAATTTCCCTTTGATTTTCTCCTCCAGATCAACACAGTGTGATAACAGGTGCCAGAAGCATATCCTCTCAGGCTGAAAGGAACAAAATAATAAGCAGTATAGGTAGGAAATAACACACAGTTCTCTTCTTGGAGAATTGTAAGAAAACTGCAAATGACAGGAAACCTGAAAGCAAAAGTGCTCTGCAAGAGTCAAGCTGCCAAGCTTGCTACCCAGGGACACTGACCTTTACCAGAATTCTTAAAAGGTTTTGAAATTTCTTCTGGTTGTCATGTCACAAGAGGATGAACTCCAAAACCACAAAGCCTGGAAACACTTCACAATCTAACCTGTAATCCTTAAATGCCAGGTTTTAGGAAGATATCTTAACTGGAGTGAATAAAGAGCTTGGTTTACATTTGGTTGGTGAATGATATGATACCCTTAACTATTTTAACAAAGAATATTTGAGTCGAGCTGCATTTACAAATCAGAACTTTAGGAGGACTGGTTTTTGTTATTAGGTGAACTGTGAAGTATTAAGACCTCAATTACATAAGGAAGATTTATGTCCAATGCCACTTGTACAGCATAAGAAAACACACAATATTTGGTTCCGATGGAAAATAAAGCAAACCATGACAATATTTGCAAAAGTAAGGGGATCCATAACAATTTCGTATAGTGTCACATTAAACCTAAGTAAAATCCACAGTTTAAAGATTAACATAATGTGGGTTTTATGATGGGTAGAGCAGAGGTGTTTAAAAAACTATCTAAAAAAACCTGCACATGTAGAGTTTCAACACAAAACGAGCTTCAGAGAGCTTTGACAATTCTTTTGGGACAGACTCAAAAGACTGAAGTTCTTTTTTATTTCCATATGTTTGTGGGATGAGAGTCAATGCCCATGAATCCAACAGAACACACAGACCAGAGTTTGGAAAAGTGAAATACACCTTCCACCAGGCAGCAAGTGATGTGAGCTCCTTCCAGAGCTCCGGTCCTTCACCAGTTTTATTCACAACCCACAACAGCACTCAAACCAACACAAGAGCACCACACCTCATCTTCTGCAATAGCTCCAGCAATTTCATGGAAATTTCTCTCTGGTTTGATTGAGCCACTGAGTAAGACACAGGACAATGTAGCCCCCAGGCTTCTCTCCCAGATCCTTCCTGCTTTAAATAACTCACTGACATCTGCACTCACTGGTGCACTGATTTTGGTGTTCAAAGCTGCTTATCGCCTATAGTTAGCTGTAATGAGATCATGACTGCCTCCCCACACGTGCTTAAGCTGCTTAGACAGTACTGTCAAAGGACACAGAACAAACAGCCAGCCCTATCTTCTTGTGCCCTTCCTAAGATTTCTAAACTCACTTCTGGAAATGCTTGACAATACTTCGATACCAACAGCGAACAATGTTAATTGGAAGTAAACATCATGTGATATTTTGCATTAACCCACTCTGGAAGTTTAAAAAAATGGGGAAAATACAGGTCAGAATAGGAAGAAAAAAAAGAAATGTCAGAACAGAATATATGAGCTATACAGTAAGTAGCCCATCTTTAGATCAGTATAAGTCAGCTGTGACAAAGACACAGGAGCATCCCCTGAAGAGAGGGCACCATGTCTCCTCTCCCTACTCCAGGAAGGTAGTTGTGGAGCTCAGCATCTTTGATCATTACCTCTTGCACTTTAAACTAACACAGACCATCTGTGTGACACAGCTACTATTTAAACACGCCATGCCTCAATAAAACAAGGTCATTTGAGTCTGCCTCAGTCATGCCTACACCACAGGTACTACTACTGAGTCATATCTCTGTTGACAAAGAACTGGGAGAAAACAGATATGCTAGACTTTCTTCCAAATTTAGGACAGCACAAAGTAACCTCATTGAGCCTGGAAGCCTATCAAGTCAGCCTTATCAACTTTCAGCAAACCAACCTTAGAATAGAAAGGAAAAATAAAAAACAGAATCGTTAGAGTTCTTAAATCATCATAAAGTGATTCAACTGCAAATGAGCCACCTAAATGGCCAGAATTACTAGAGCATGAGTGAGCTTCGAAATCTTGGAAGTTTAATTCTTATTACAAAGAACTGACACTGATTTGGTGAATGAACAGGACTGAGCTTTCCATTTCGTGCTAGTGCACTTACCTGGGCGTTCCTGCAGTATCCTTAAGGATAAGAACACAACTCCCACAAACCACATTTACATATCCTTGCTCAAAGGGTAAAATTATATAGGGAGAGGTAAAAAGCAAGCAGCTTATTTCTCTTTGCATGATATTTAAGGTGGCTGCATATGTATACTGAGCAAAACAGAAAAAAGTTACCTTGGAGATGTCACCCAAGCTCTTTCGGCTGAGCAGTCACTGGAATATGGACCCAACCTCTCACAATCAAGAGGGAGCAGGACCCCAGAAGCAGGTCAGCCTGCAAGATGTTGTATGGAAATAAGTTAGCAAGTGCTAAATTAGCTTTTATATAGATCTTTACTTGCTCATCAATTCAGAACTTTCGAGAGCACACCTTCCCTCCAGTCTGGGACCAGAATTCACAGCGAGTTCCTTTCAGGATGCAAATGCTCTCAGTCGCCACTCTGGGCTCTGACAGATGTTCTCTGCCAAACGTGTCACTGAGGGGACACACTGTCTCCAGCTGCCTCAGCTGAAGATCTCCAACCACGGGTGGAGCAGAGCCGGATGCACAACTGTTCCTCACCGGGCCTGGTTCACAAGGCACGGATGGTATTAGGGAAGAAAGGCTGAATCACAGTATATGAAACCAGGGCAGCTGAACAGGCCCTGCTTAGGCCCCAGCACAAGGGAGGCAGTGTCTGGCAAAGCAGCAGGACAGCTGGTGAAGGAGATAACCTTTCTAACTACAAAAGCTAAATCAGAGACAGCTTATCTATCATAGCTCTCAAACACGTGTAGCGACATCCTACCAGGGCAGGCACATTCATCTCATAACCTCTTTCACTGCTTTTATCAGATTTGGTTGACACAGATCTTCTAATAATAAAATTATGGCAGCTATGCCTGCGTTGTTTTTTAACAGGAACAACTGCACCCATTTTAACTACCGTGGACAGCATTAGATAGACGGAGGCACACTCTAACAGCAAAGCTTATTCCTTCACTCCCAGAGAAGGGGATCAAACATTGTGGATGACACTGACCACATACTGATGGGGTTATGCAAAATAAAAGCTTAAAGAGGCTTGCCTTTCATACACGGTTAATGCCACTCAAAATGCACACAGATGAGCCTACAGAAATAAATCACGGCAAATTACTTGCACCTCAGTACCATCTGCACCGATACACAGGAAGCACAAGCACCCAACACACGGATTAAGAGAACTGCATCTATTAGGAAGTACATCCACCCGAACAGCACACTGGGAAAGCCAAAAATAACAGCTGCTGCCACATCAGAACGGCACAACACTGCGCACAGGCGATGCCTGCAAAACAGAAACTAAGCACAAACACTTCCTCTTCCTCCCCCACCACCCCTACGACAGCAGCAACAAACCTGATATTAAACACTGGCCAGCATCCTGCTCTGCATTCCTGTCACATCAGGAATGGGAAAGAGGGAGACTGCTAGCTGCTCCTCCATATAGCTGAAGGGTTCCTTCACTTTACAGCACGTCATACAAATACTTGATATGATTCTTGCAGAGGTTTCTGCCGCATTTTCTTTCGCTCCTTTGCTCCAGCTCACCCACTTCAGAGCTCACTAGGGACCCTTTGTACTTACTAGGCTTGTTTTTGATACATTTCTTCTCAAAGACTGACAAGTCAGAAATAAAAGCAGTTGTTCCTAGGCAAGTCACATGTAAGCAAGCAAGCACAGAGCCACGGCTTGACTGGGCTGCCACACACAAACTCTGCAAGTCAAGTCCAAATCTAAACCCTGTCCAGCACCAAGACTGACCGTGTGACACCGTCAAATGCAAGAGCAAACAAATCAGGCTGCAGCTTCTTGTCAATACCGAGTTCTGAGACTATAAATCCCAGCATCAACACTCAGTGCTCACCTCTCCAACATGTTACAAGCCAATTCCCAGCGGGCAGACTGGGGGAATTCACTGACAGCAAGTAAAGTGCCTGGGCTGAACTGCAATAAGCAAGGCCTCTGTTAGATTTTCCATGGTTTCAGTATCTGTATTTCAACCATAGATGGAAGAACCCTACCTCCTCTGGAACATGGGCTGCAGAGATCCAACTTCAAACTCAGCACCTGCATTTCCTAACCCAATGGAAAGCACAGTCAGTGCCACTCCGTACCCACCGTACCAGCCAGAACTCACCAGATTCACAACAACCTTCAGACACTGAGAATTCACCTAAAAACTGAAATCTGGAAACCTTTTTACAATCATCTGGTGATCCACTGAACCGAAAACACTGTGTCCTGAAAGCAAATGGTCCAACAAATAGCTCCAAGCTTGTACTGGACTCCTAATCTCTCACTGGTCAAGCTTCACAAGGTCACATTTCTGAGCGTGATAATTTTACCCAAAGTGAGTGAGCTCCATACGTGCAGGAGAGAAGGAAAGGAACAAACCAGGCAGCTCGGGTGGGATGAGGAGAGCACAGAACTGCATGATCAAGAAGAAATCATAATGCTTGTTTAGAAGGCTGATTAGCTGATTAAGGGCACAAGTACTACTCCAGCCTGGGCACTTTTTGACCTACCAGTGCTTGTTATTATAACCTTGACTTCTCACCATGTGCAGTGCAAGACAGAATAACTTCCAAGTCAGTTGACTTGCACAATTTGTCATGAGAGGAGATCCCAAAGCACATCTAATTCTGCTTTCTATAGTATTTTTATGAGAAGGACATGCCCAGTACTGTCAATCTGGTGATGAGGCATACAGTGATATTACTCACAAAAGCAGGAAGTAAGCATGGGCACTACTACTTCATAAATTTTTAAATATATGTAAATATGCGCTTTGAAGCTATATGTGACAAAATACATACAGAAAAATACACCATTGCACTGTTACACACTCACAGTGTTGGTTTCTCTGGACAAGGATAAGACTCCTTTTCAGCACCAGCCCCACATTCCCACCATTTCCCTTGCACTGGCAAAATCATTTAACCACCCACACCAAGCTGGTGGAAAAAAACCTGCTAGATTGTCTCCGGATTGATCTATTTGTAAGGCAGGGAACTCAGATTCCCACCTGTACAAGCACCCAGCAGCAAGTCAAGAACCTCCTGTGGGCTGCAGTCTATGCTTCCAAGAGCTGAAGTGCCTGTGAAGCCACACACTGAATGTGAAACTGGTGACTGGAAGAAGATCATAAAAACTGTCCCCCCTTTTCATGTCAACACATAATTGTGCTCACTTGCTCTTTTTCTATGCAAGAAACACACAAAACTGCCACAAGGTGCCTAATGAATAACCAGAGTGCAGAAGAGGGTCCTACCAGCATATCCTGCTCTCTGGTCAGCAGAGATTCCCCTAATAATGACCTCATACATATCAACATCCCCCTCAAGGAGCTAAGGACCACTTCTCCTGCTCCCCCAAAAGTCCTTATCAGACAGGAAACAAAGGGAATGCCATGAAAAGGACACTTCAGATTTGCCCAGTGGGTTCTAACCAGGATGGCACAGGCTGTTCATCCATACACCTAGAAAAGGTGGTGCTAAAAAAGCTGGGGAGGGTAAGAAACACCCTCTAAGAAAGAGAACAAAAAATTTGCATTAGGACGATTCAAAACATTGACAAAACAAGTTTGATGCGCTTGAAAGAGCGACCCAATGTTATCTTGCTTTATAGAGCCCACATTTGCATCTTTTCACAACCTACCACTTTCTTTCCAGCTCCAAAACAAAGCACTTACCTTTGATCAGTGCTAAACTAACCCAGCTACAGAAAAATACTTCTCAATCTCAGCAACAAGAAACTGTTCCACAGGGTTAGGATGTCCCTAACAGACCTATTTAGGGTTACGGTGCCAACACCTAATAATTGATATACCTAATTCTAAAATACTTTGAAGCTCCTGACAGGATTTCTGTAAATATGAAATCAAAGTCTTAGTTCAGTGATATATAACAAGAAAAATATCCAAGAAAATATAGAACAAGGAATTTTTCCCCATGAAAAATCTGACCATACACACGTCCCCATATCAGCTGCAGGTGACAGTTCACTACAATGAGACCTTCACAAGGCATTACAACATATTATTTTTGTGAGACAAGCTACCAACTAAGGCTACACAGCCCTACTGATCACAGAAACATTTCATTAAGAACGAACAGAGACTCAAGCCCACACTGTTCCAGCACCATTCAGCGCTTCATTAGCAAAGGCCAACTGTGGAATCCAGCTTTGGAAGCTCTGAACACCAAGTTAAGCCAGGTGAACCTGAAGGGAGGAAAAGTAGAGGGAGCAGAAACACAGCTGAAACGAGAAAGGCAGCACATACCAAAGAATATCACTGGGAAGAAAAACGGGGGCTGATTCTGAGCTTTAAAATGGAGGGGGATGGAGACTGGGACCAGTTCAAATTCTGAGCAGCTCGAATATGAACAGGAGTCAGTCCCACCCACCAACCCCTACTCGGAAGCCCCAGGGAAGGCTGGTTACGGTCCGGTCCTGCAGACCCCGGAGCAGACCTGCGCTCCGGGTGTCCCCAGGGTGACACCCAGCGCTCCGGGCCCCCCACCCCTCCCGTGCCGGGGGGAAGCGCCGACGGGCCCCCGGCCCCACCAGCCTCCTCACCATGTTGGCTTCATGTTACCGCCGCGGTCCCCGAGCTCCTTCCTGCGCGCAGCTCCTGCGGAAGGGAAGGAAGGGCACAAAAGGAGGGCAGGCTCGCTGTGCCCGCCGGGCACGGCCCTGCCCCGGCCCCCCGCCCCGGCCGCGCCTCGCTTGGGCACCGCTGGATCTCACCCCACACACACGGACTCCCCCCGCTCCTACCTCGGGGGGGCCGCTCATGCATCCCCTGCACCTCTGAGCCCGTCCGGGTGCTCCGTGCCCTCCTCACCCCGGCTCCTCATGGAGCTGTGTATCCTCCTTCCCGTCTCCCCTCTCCCTTTACGGGGCCGCGCCCGCTTCTCGCTCCCTCCCTCCCCTACGGCAGCGCGCCCGGTTCACCCCCCGTCCCCCGCCGCTTAGCCCGCCCTGTGCCTGTCCGCCGCGGCTCACCGGGGCCGGCGCTGCCCGCCCGGCCGGGACAGCGGGACAGCCCAGCGGAGCCCAGCGCCGCCGCTCCCCGCCGCTCCGATCAACAACAAGATGGCGGCGGCCGGGCGGGCGGGGCCCGGGCTGGCCGTCATAGCAACCGCGCCGTCCAAGGCCCGCCCCACTGCCCCTCGCGCCAATCCGAGATCTAGCCCCGCCCCACGGGAGCGCAACGACATCGCTGATAGGCCAACCGAGCCGTCGCTCAAATGGGGGACGGCCCCGCCCTGTTCCGAGCGCGGACAGCGGCGCACGTTAGGCACACGTGACTCCAGCCAGCGCCCCGCCCCGCCGAGGGCCGCGCCGTCTCATTGGCTGCCCACAGGGAGGGGGGAGTGCTCAACCAATGGGCGCGGCCCGCGCTCAGGGTGGGGCGGGGCCGGGCGGGGCTGCCGCTCCCATAGCCCGGGCTGAGACCCGCGGTGAGAGCCCGAATCTCTTTCGCGCCCTGGGGCTCCGACCCTTCTGAGCCCCTCCGACAAAGCACCCAGCTCCGCACCCCCTGCTCTGAGCCCCGGGCTCCCCACCCTGAGCCCCCCCCAGCCTGGTCTTGGCAGCGGGGCACGCACCTCTCCAGTACAATAAAGGATTTCATTCTCCGGCGATCATCCGTCCCCGTAGTCTCAGGGCGAGGGAGAACCCCCCGGCGGAGTCACACAGGTGACCCTTCTCACTGAGAAATTTTACGGCTGGCCTCTGCCCGCTCTACCTCCCTTTAGTCACCTACTTCCCAAATTAGTCTCCCCTGTTATCCCGCCAGCGCTTCATTTCCCCGGGAGCTGCCAGGGAGGTGTCCCGTGGCGCGCTCCTTTGAAATTCAAATAGCCGGGTTCCCACCTCTCCCGCTGACTGGCGCCTTCAAAGCTTCCCGCCGCTCCCAGCTCCTGCAGCGTCCCTCTCACCTGCGCCCACGCTAATTCACTTTTCCTGCTAATTATCAGCCCGTCCCCTCCGCCGACCGGCTGCTCCTCCAACCCGCTTGCGCCCCTGAGCCCTGGAGCAAAGAAGAGCTCGAGGGGGACACTGGACAAAAGTTTCTCACAATTACCCGTGACTGAGTCTTCTCGCCCCAGATCACCTCTCTGCAGGAAACTGCCCCAGCTGGGTCACATCCACAGGCTACAGAGATGCTGCTGTGACCAGAGCAGACTCTGCCAAAGCAGATCTTTCACAGTGCCAACCCCACTGCCATGACTGCTATCCTTATCCTAGGTCGTGCCACCCGTATCCCTGACTGGAGATGGCAGTAATGACCCTCACAGCAGGACAGCCACCCGTGGGACTGCCCGGCCATGGCGCTCCCTACGGCAATCACGGCAGTGCCTGCAATCTCTGACACATTTATTAGGTCTGCACTCTCTGGGGTGGCTCAGAATCTGGCTGCACCCCATGGGCAGTGGGTTCAGCCACAAAGGATGGGTGTCCTCCTTGAGGGCCACTCCAGGTGCCTGCCAGTGTCCAGTGCTGTGCCTGGCATGGCCCACATGGAGCTGTGGGTTGCAGGGAGCCCCTCACCAAGACAAGCCCCTCAGATCCAGCGCCGTGCCCCAGTCACACTGTTGAATAGGTAGTCCCTGCCGGTGCCTGAGATGGAGGCAGCACTCAGCCACTGCCCGGGGGGGCTGGTGCCCATCTCTCCTGTCTCCAGACCCCTCTGCCCTGGGGGACACAGCCCAAGGCTGTGGGGCCATGGGACAGGGCACTCACGTGGGTCCTGAGCACGGCCATCAAACTGCCCCTGTGTGGAGGAGAGACAGGAGAGGCTGCTGAGGGTTCCAGGGCTCCTCCTGGGCAGGGCACCCACCCTAGCTGCCATGGCACACACTTACCTGGCTGTTGGCATGTGGGTGTCCCTGTTCCTCCTTGCCCCCGCTCTGCTCCACCACATCCCAGGAGCTGCAAAGGGAAGAGGGCAAGAGGAGGACACACTGTCAGTGTTGGGCCCCCAGCCTTAACCCCGAGGGATGCTGTCAGGAGCTGGTTGCCAGACAGGCTTTGCCCTGCCAGCTGCATCCTGTCGAGCCCATTGTCCACCTACCTGATCATCCCCTTACCCAGCCCGTGTGTCCACGGACACAGAGGGGGATTGTGGCAGGGCTGTGCTCCCCCAAGCACCTTTCAGCAGTGCCTGAAGGTGTTGATCTGGTCTGCCACCACATCCACTTGTTTGCCCACCTGTTTGAGCTCAGAGGACGCTGTGCTGGGGGAGCTGCAGCCCCAGAGCCCCTGTGGTGCCACTGCCACCCATGGGGGCTGAGCCTGAGTCTTCTCCTTTGCATAGTCACTACAGCCCCAGTGCCACCAAGCACTGTGTCCCCAACCTCACCAATGACCGTGGATCCAGCCATGCATCCCCTCAGGGTGGTTGTGCCACTGGAGGTGGCTGTTATCCTGCCCGTGCGCTTGCATGTCTCCTCCTTGCCGTGCAGACACCCTGGGCAGGCTGGTCCAGCTCTAGCATCTCCTTGGTCTCTCTCCTCGGCTGTCACCCTCACTGATCCTCAGGAGGGGTGTGCAGCCTGCTCACCTCCTCCCTGGAGCTTTCCCTGCCGAATGGGGCTCATCTCTGCCAAATGGGGGCTTCCCTGGTGAGCTGCACTGACCTCAGCCCTGGTGCTGGGACCCAGCCCTGCTGTGGGCAGCAGCACCAGCACTGTGCCGTCCCATGCTGTCCACTGCAGAGTTTGTGCCCCAGCCTGGCTACCAACATCACTGTCCACTGGCCAAATCACTATATTTGTTCCCATGGCTCCCATCAGGGCTGAACCCTCACCCTGAGCAGGGAGGGCTCCCTGGCACAGCAGTTCAGAGACCACAGCCAAACATGGGGTATGTTGAATACCCCCCAAGTGCTGTGTCTCCCAGGCTACCTGCAAAGACGCTATGACTACCAATACAACTGCCCTGGCCCCACAGCACTCACCTCTTGCCCAGGAACAGCTTGCCAGGGTCCCGGCTCCTGTGGAAGGAGCAGAGGGCAGATGTGAGCCCCTGGTCTTGCTCCCTGTGCCATGCTGTGCTGTGGGCTTGGGCTCACCTGCACAGCAGGCTCCTGGCCATGCAGCCTAGAGTGGCCAGCAACAGGGTGCCAGAGATGGTCAGCACGGCCACGAACCAGGCTGGCGGGTGCCACACCACCTCCGTGCGCGTGACAACCAGCGGCTCCTTCTGCAGTGTCTGCAGACGTGGGGCAGTGAGTGGGTATGGGAGGGCTGGGGGGTTCAGTGGACCCCACAGCACCACCTGGCCAGCGGGCTCTGCTCACCGTGTGCTGGGTAGTGGTGCTGGGTGGCACGGGGGTGCTCTGGGGGGTGACGCGCACCACCAGTGCCACCACGGTGCTGCGGCGGCGGGCACCAGAGCCGCCCCACACCTCCACCAGCAGCACAAAGGTGCGGGGCTCGACTTGGTCGTTGGGGAGGTAGACGACGGTGTTCCCCTCCAGCCGAAAGCATCCATCCTCATTGCCTGGATGAGAGGGTCTGCTCAGTGCCACGCTGTGGTAAGGACTGGTTTGTGCCGTGGTTTGGCTCCTCCTCACCTCCAACAATGGTGTGTGTCAGCGTGGCACCGTCGGGGCTGCCGTGGCACACCAGGCGGGTGACAGGCTGCCGGCTGCCTGGAGACCCAGCTGTGATCCGCAGCTCCTGCACCTCGGGGGTGCACACCGGCACCTGGTCCGGCACAGCCTACCGGGAGCAGGGGGTGGTGGTGTGGCACCCACAGCGCTCGCACCGCCCGCAGGTCACCCAAGGGGCCGCACTCGCACCTGCAGGCGCACGGACACGTCACACAGGCGGCTGTGCCGCTTTGCCAGGTCCAGGTCGTTGCGGGTGTCTGTCAGCCGCACCACCAGCCTGTGGCTCTTCTGCCGCTGGCAGTTCAGGGGTCCCACCACGCGGATCTCACCTGTGGGGCTGCGTGAGCTGCGGGGCACCGGTGGGTGCCATGGGGTGTGGTGGGTGCTGAGGAAGGGGCCAGGTGCTCACCAGTGCGGCTGTCGATGGAGAAGGGCTGTGCAGGGCCGGATTCCCCCTCCAGGCTGTACTCAAGGCTGTCCGGTGGGTAGTCGCGGTCAGTGCCAGCCACACGCCCCACAACGCTGCCAAAAGCTGCTGTCTCCAGCACGGTGAAGGTAGCACTGTTGGGGCACGCCGGTCTGAATTCATTCACAGGGGTCACCGTCACAAGCACAGGCACACGGGCTGTGTGGCACACGGCAGCTCAGCCACGCTGGCCACTCCATGGCCCACACCGAGCTCAGCGACATGGACAGTGGCACCAGCCCTGGGGTGGGCACCTCAAGGGCAGCAGGGGAGGAACTTTTCCTTTGTGATCTGCTGGTTTTTGGATCAGGAAAGGGCTTTTCCCTGCTCCCCCACTGTGACCCCTGGGCACACTTCAAAAATACAGGCACTCACCGCTCCGTGGGGGCTGCTCTCCTGCTGTCACCACGATGGTGGCTGTGAACTGAAAGCCCATAGTGGCCATGGCCTCTGAGTCGTAGTCCAGGGTGGTGTTGACCTGCCAAGCCAGGATGGGGAGGGTCAGGCAGAGCCAAGGTGCTCTGCAAAGCCGGGGTGTCACACAAACTGCAATGCCAGGGCAGCAGGAGGGAGCAAGCAAGGAGAATAGGCAGGGAGCAGGGAGCCCTGAGGAGCCCTGACCCAGGACCTGGCATGACAGCACATGTCACAGGGTCCCCCCATCCCACCAGGCTCCCCAGGATCTGGGCTTGCCATCTGCCTGGGCCCTGACTGCAGCCCTGCTCACCTTCAGCCGTGGCCCCTCCATGCAGAAATGGGAGCGGGAAGCAGGGGGCCCCTCGAGGGCATAATGGAGACACTCATCAGTGCCAGTAGAGTCAGTGCACCTCAGTGTCACCAGGGTGCTGCCAGGGGACATCGTCTCGGGCACCTGGGACCTGCAGTGGGGCAGCCAGCAGCTCAGCTCCTGTTCCCTGTGTCCTGGGTGCAGCAGAGCATCCCATATAACCCCACTCTCCCCTCAAACCGTACACGAAGATGGCTGGAACGCATCTTGGTGCCCAATGGTCTGTCCCCTGTACAGTGACGTTGACAGTGGCAGTGGTGTGGTCTTCGGGGTGCAGAGCATTGTAAGCCCGGATGAGGAGGTGGGCACGGGCCACCTCCAGCCTGCGGGTGCTGCGGATCTCACCTGTCACTGTGGGAGGAGGCACGGCCTTGCACTGCGCACAGGGACAGGGCAGGGTGTCCCTGGGGGCCCCCACCCCTCTGCTCACCCTCATCAATGGTGAAGAGCATGGGTGCCATAGGAGCAAGGATGGCGTAGCGGACATTCTCACCACTGGCATGGACCTGTGTGACCACCTCCAAGGGGCCAATGCCCTCTGTCATTGTCACAGACCGGTGTGGCTCACTGCAGGCAAAGCGGGCAGTGTGGCACGGCCTGGTGCCACCAGCACCCCCCACCCTGCCCGACCCCACTCACGGAAAGGTGACACGGGGACGGCGCGATGGCAGCACCTCCACCGTCACGGCCCCGCTGCAGTTGTGCCCGTGGCGGTCCATCACCTCGATCTCCAACCTAAACGTCTGTAGGGTAGTGCCAGGGCAGCTGTGGGACAGCCCTGAGTGGCACCAGGGATGGGGGAGTGGACAGGGTGGGGATTGAGACAGGGATGGGCATGGGGATGAGGATAGTAATAGGGACTGAGACAAGAATAGGGACAGGATGGGGACAGGAACAGGGACAGAGACAGGGAAGAGGAGGGGGACAGGGATGAGAATAGGGCTTGAAGCAGAAACAGAGGTGGAAAGATAGGTGGAGATGGAGATGAGTTGAGCTGGAGACTGAAATAGGGACAGGAATAGGGACAGGGATGAGAACTGAGACAGGACTCGAGATGCAGAAGGGGATGGGCACAGAGCTGGAGCAGTCCAAGATCCAGGAAAAGACAAGACCCCAATAGGAGGACCAGGATGTGGAGAGCTGCAGGCAGTGCCAGGATGCTGAGACAGCCTGGGAATGCAGGTGACAACCTGGGTGTCCTTGCTGGGGTCAAAACCATTATCAGGTGCCAGCACCAGGCCCCGGCGGGTGAGCGTGAGTGGTGTGTTGTGGTTTCGGAGCCTGAACTGCAGAGAGGAGGTTATGGAAACCCCTGTCTCCCTCCTCCACAGCTGAGGTTCCTCTGTCTCCAAGGCTGCTCCCAATTTTGGAGGCTGCAGGCTCCCAGGGAGCTGCCACTCACCGTCAGCCCACCAAGTGGCTGTGGCAACACCGCATACAGGGGTGTCCGGGGCGCCACATCTGCCAGCACCTGCACCACGTCACCCCCTGGGGCACAGCACAGCTTTGGGAGCTTGGTGCCCACTGGCACCTGCAGCCCCCACCACCCCACACCTCTGGCTCCTACCAGCACTGGTGAAGGGGGTGTCACAGCGCAGCACCTGTCCCAGTGTCACCCGGACAAAGAGCTGCTCTTCTACCTCATCCTCTCCAGGACAAGCGGCCCGCAGGGTCAGGGTGTACTGATTCACACGGCGGGCATCGAGCTCCACACCGGCACTCAGTGTCACCTGCCACAGGGACACGTCACTCAGCAGGGCACCCAGGGCTCCTGACCCACTCCCTGTTCCCCAGCCGCACCTCTGCCCGGAACATGGTGGCAGATGTGGGGTCAGCACTGATGGCAATGGGGTTGAAGGGGTGGTCGGGCTTGATGCTGTCCAGGGTGATGTTGGGGCTGCCACTCATATTGCTGCAGGACACAGTCACCTCGGCCACAAGGGCGCCTGGCACTGTGTCCTCACTCAGGGTCACCACACGTGGCAAGTCAGGCAGGGCTGGTGGGAGACCCCGGGGACCACCAATAGCTCACCCAGCCGTACTTAGGGAGCTCTGCACCTGCACCCGGGCACCCATGCTGGTACAGGTCTCCCCGCTGGGCACAGTGGGTCCCATGGCACCTCGTTCTTACCTGTTGCTTTGACAAAAGTCCCTGCAAAAAGGAGAGCGTCACCCTAGGTTTCCAGGGGGTGTCCTGGAGAGGCCCCAGAACTCACAGAATCATAAAACCATAGAATATGCTGAGTTAGAAGGGACCCATCAGAACCACCAAGTGCAACTCCTGGTCCTACCTGGTGCATAGAGGCTGAGGAGAAGGAGGAGGACGGTGAGGTGTTCGTGCATGCCCATCGTTCGCTAGATGTTTGGGACAAGCTGCAGCCGGTTGCCAAGGGTGCTGGGCACCACCCCGGGCCGGCGTCACGCTGGCCATCCCCACCCGTGGTGGCCGGCCCAGCCAGGGGAGGGACAGGACACGGCCCCAGTGCCCCCAGCTCCGCACGCCCCCGTTCCCAGCCCCTCGCCTCTCACAGCCACGGTCCGTGGGCTTTGGCTGCCACCCCACGCCGTCTCGCCACGCGGCACGTCCAGGAGCCGGGAAAATTAGCTGGGAGGTAATTCTTGGCCGTGTTCTCCTTCATTTGCAAACCAGTGCCGCTTTTCTCTGGGATCCCTATTAAACGCTATTAGCTCCCAATTAGCGGGGTCACTCTTCCCTTCCCTCCTCCAGCGCCCAGCCTGGCTCTGACAGCCCAGTATAGGCGGGTGCCCCGCCAGGACCCCGTAGCGGGGCCGCCCCTCTTCCCGCCGGTGCTGCCCGGCCCCGGTGCCCTCGGGGCTGCCGGCCGGGACGCGGGTCCCGCCTGGCGCGGTCGTGCCCGGGTGGTGCCCGGCGCGGGGCCCCGGGGCGGCGGGCGGGGTCCGGGGGCGGGGCGGGGCCCCGGGGCGGCGGGGCCGGTGCCGGTGCGGGCCGGGCTCACGTTACGGCGGCCCCATTGGCCGGGGTGGGGCGGGGCGGGGCCGCCGGGCAGCGCCGGGAGGCGGCGGGCACGGCCGGGCGCTCCGTCCGCTGCTGCTGCTGCCGCTGCCGCTCAGCCACCGGCACCGACAGCACCGGGAGCGGGGCCGGGAGCAGGACCGGGCATGCACAGCGCCCGCCCGGACGAGCTCGGCGCCGACCGGGTGAGTGCCGCCGCGGGCACCGGGACGGGACGGGACCACCGTGCCCGCGCCCCGCCTGGGCATCGCCGTGACGTCCGGGCGCCGCCGGTGACATCAGCGCCGTGACATCACACGCGAGGCCAAGGCGGCGAGGGGGACGGGGGTGACTGGTGGGACACGGGTGGCGGTGGGGACACGAAAGTGTCCAGCTGTCAGGGTGCCAGCGGCACCGTCCCCCCGGGGCTGCCACCCTGCCGCCCAACCTGGGCTGCCCCAAGGGACGGCGGTGACAGGGTGGCCCTTTGGCTCCCCTGGGCCTGCCACATGCTTACCCAGCGCCCAACAGCCGGCTACCCCTGTGTTCCCGGCCATCGGCGGGACTGGGCAGCTCGAGGAGGTGGCACGTTGCCAGTAGGGCTGGATGAGAGGGTCCCAGCCTGCGGGGAGGGGGACAGGGACCGGAACGGGGACGTGGACTGGGACAGCCCTGCTAGAGGGTCTGTCAGGGACAGCCAGAGGGGACGGGATTATCCGTCCTGGGAGCGATCCCTCCTGCACACTCAGCTTCCCGCGACTCTAGCGCGGAAAGGAAAGCGGACGTAACACCCTGCTTTTGGGTTCAGACAATAGGAATTCTAGAGTGAGGAGCGGCCCGGCTGCGGGAGCCAGGCGGCCCTTCCAGCGCCCGCCCGGCCACGCTCCGTTCAGCCCTGACTGCCTCGGCCCCCTGTATTCTGCGGTGTTTAGGGGTCTCAGGGCCTGAGCGATGGCCTGGCTGCACCCTGAAGTCACCTGGGGTGTCCCCAGCGGGAGGGCACGGTTTGGGTGGGTGGCCCTGCCAACGCACGGGGAGAATGCCCCACCCCGGCACCCGCGGGTGCCCTGGGGCTGCCGCTGGCCTTGTGCCACCGAGTGGGGTTCTGCCGGAGGGGCGTCCCGGCTGCCTCCCCACCAGGCCGGGGGGACCCCAGGGGCCTGCGGGGGGGAAATGGAGCGCCCGCTCCTACGTGCCGTGGCCCTCTGTCATTTCCCGCAGGCACGGCCGGGGCTGGGTGCCTGCTTGCTCACCCGACATGCCGCTGCACGCCGGCCAGCTCCGCGCAGGAGCCGCAGGAAAGCGGGGCCCGGGGCTGCAGGCAAGACGGGACCTGCACCCGCTCCCCGCACCCTGCTGCGCGCCTATTGCGCCAGCAAAGCCCCCCCGAGGCGGGGTGGGGGGCGCGGGGTGGGATGGGAGGTGGCGAGGCTGGCTGGGGACAGTGGGGACCGCCGTGCTGATTGTGGCCTTTCCCTGCAGTGGTGCCGGCGCGAAGCAGGGGCGGCGCCGCGGGCGCACATGCACAGCACGCGGCAGGCTCCGCACCACCCCGGCGGGGCACCGGGGCCGGCCCCCCGTGCCCCACGCCCCGGCTCGGCGGCGGACTCGGCCTGCAGCCTGGATCCGGGCGGCGAGGAGGAGGACGGGGGGGGCCCGGCCGCCCGCTCCCCCCCGGCCAGCGAGCGCAGCCTGGAGTTCGACTCGGGCTACTCGGAGGCGTCGGGGGGCACGTGGCGGGAGGAGGAGGTGCCCGTGCGGCGCCGGCACCTGCTGCCCTGCCAGCGGGCACACCGGCTCTCCGCCGGCCCCGCTGCCCCACCGCCTGCCCCCGCCCGCCGCGCCCGCCCCAAATCCACCTCGGACGCCTGCCTGGAGCAGTGGCGGGCGCTGGAGCCCGCCGACACGCAGGACTGGACCGTAGCGCTGCTGTCGCAGAGCCGGAACCGGCAGCCCCTTGTGCTGGGTGACAACTGCTTTGCTGACCTGGTGGAGAACTGGATGGACCTGCCCGAAGTGGGCGCCGAGCCGCGGCGCCGAGCCCCCGCCGAGCCCTCCCGCCGGCTGGCCAAGCCCCCCGCCTTCCTGCTCAGCCTCTCGGGCAACGTTCGCCGCAAGCTGGCTAACATGGCCCGGCCCCGGGCAGCTGAGGGTGCCCGGCCGGGGGGCCGCGATGCCACCAAGCGTTTCTCCTGCCCCCTGGGGCTGGGGGGGCAGCCCAAGGGTGCCTGCTTCCACCAGTCCCACAGCAACATCGCCCAGCTGGCCACGGACTTCCACCGCTTCACCGCCCTGATGAACAGCCGTAGCCGCCAGCCCATCATCTGCAACGACGTTATCGGCTACATTTAGCCCCGCTGCTGCCGCCCGCACCCCCTCCCTGTAAATAAACCCCGGTTTTGTACGGTGTGGGCACTGCAGCGTTTATCAAGGGGGGTGCCTGTGCCCCGACCCTGGGCAGGGGCAAGCAGGGAGTTTTCGCAACAACGGTTCCTGCAGCCTTTATTGCGTGGGGCAGGAAGTGCTGGCCCCTTGCTCAGGGTAGGGAGCAGAGGAGAGGGGGACGCTTATCTTCCTCAGCATCCTCTTCCTCACACACATAATGCAGCTCTAGGTCCTGCTGCTGCGGCATCCCGGCGTCCTCCAAGATCTCTGATAACCTGTAGCAGGGAAAGGGGGTTTTGGGGACACTGGCTTGCCCCTCAAGGCTGGCTGGGCGCCTAGGGGTGCCTTGGGCCCCTTAGGGGTGTCAGGCCAGGCTGGTGGGACGCAGGGGCTGTCAGCAAGGGGCCGGGCAGGGGTCCCGCTCCGGGAAGTCCTGCCGGCAGGATGTTTATCCAGCAGCTGGCTGGGAGCTGCACTGCAGCTGGAGCAGCTCAGGCTGGAGGGAGAGGGGGCTGAAAGCCCCTGCTCTGGGCAGGACTGGCCCTGGAGACAGGAACCTACCTCTGTGCCTGTTGCTGGGCCCGTGTCTCTTCACTGTCCCCCTTGTTGTAGAGCACGGTGTTGCCATGCAGGAGCATGGTCACAGTCCAGCCATGTGTCCTCTGCAAGAGGTGGGTGTCAGGATCTGTCCCTGTAACACCCAGGGTGACCTGATTGGGTGCTGCTGGCACTGGGCTCACCTGCAGCCAGTCCAGCACCTCCTGCACCGTCATTGCCTGCCCGTCTGCGCTGACTGCCCTCATCTCCAGCCGGTCCCAGCAGCTCCATTCCCGCCCGCCATACTGTGAGGAGGAACAAGGGATAGCAGCCAGCACTGGCACCCCATATCCTGGCTGCCCAATCCCATGGGGCAGGGACTGGTGTGGCATGAGGGCTGGCAAAAAGACCAGTCAGGGGATGGGGGAGAATGGTTGTCCCTTGTGAGAAATGAAGGCACAGCTGTCTCATGAGCATTGCTGGTGTCCAGGGCCAGCCGGGGACACAAATGTCCCCTCAGCACTGCTGGGGTCCAGGGGCAGTTGGGGCCACAACTGTCCCTCCAGCCCTGCTGGGGTCCACTGCAGGGGTCAGGGTGTGTGTGTGGGGCTGGCACTGCCCCCAGCCCCAGGCCAGGCCAGGCACACAAAGGGCCATTGAAGTGCTGCCCAGCCCCACACAATCACCTCTTCTCAAACCCGCGGCCCCCCGACCCCGGCTCCAGCCCAAGGAGGCCAGCGCGGCGCCAAGCCTGGGGCCAAGTGCCGGATGCGGCCCCGCACCGTCTGGCAGGGCTGCCCGGCCATCTGCCCTCGCCGCAGGCACCGCCAGCCCTGCCCGCCTGGCCCTGCTCGGGAGGGGTGTTCACACCTGGTCACTCTCCCTCCTGCCTTCTGCTGCCTTCTCACCTCCGCCTTCTGCTGCCTGCACTCATCTCACTGGGGTGGGAAGGGCTTAACCCCATCCTCACCGGGGCAGTGACTGCCTGGTGCGGATGGAATGCCACTGCCCATCCCAGCATACTGAAAACACATCCTTCTGGCCCTGAGAAGCACATGCCTCCGGACTGCCCCCAAGGTGGGCTCCCCAGGCCCCTTTGGGGACACAGGTCACACCAAGTGAGCCTGGGGGACATGTGCTCCCACCACAGCCGAGCAGCTGGGTGTGAAATGTCACGCCAGGTGTCCTCACCACGGGACATGAAGGTGCCAGGTGCCGCTGCAGGGACCTGAGGGCATGGCCAGTCCCAGCAACATCCTCCATCCAGGGACAGTGCCAACCCAGGGGCACCGTGGCCAGGATGGCACAGGGCTGGGCAGCCCAGAGGGCACTAGAGGGCTGTGGGGCAGCCGTCAGTCCAAAGTGGTGCTGGAGTAGGCGAGGCAGTGGAGTCGCCTCCCTCCCCCTCTTCCTGCCCCCGGCCCTGGGCCCCCCGGGCCAATCTGGTTCCAATCGGCGCTTCCTGCCGTGCCGGAAGGGCTGCCTCGCACGCCATAAACCCCCAGACAAAGGGGCCTCTATAGCCCAGACGGTCCCAATCTGGGCCTGCCCCCGCCCCCACTCTCCCTCCCTGGCCCCCCACCGTCGGGACCCCCGGCCCCGCTCCCCCCGGGCGGCCCTTCCCGGCCTGGTGCCAGCTGCTTTCTGGCTGCTGCAGCTGGTTTCCATAAGCCAGATGTGCGTGGCTGCAGCAGCCTGGCCGTGGGGCTCACCGTGGGGCCCGCCGTGGGGCAGTGGGGCTGCCTCACCCCACGGGCACCCCAGAGCATCCCACTTGGGCCCTAAGCTGGGGTGGGTGGGACAGTGGCAGCAGCTCAGTGCTGGGGGGCAGCCACGGGAAGGAGCTGTTTCCTCATTGCCTGGCAGCATTCCCGACCCACTGTGGCATCCGGATCCATTGCTGTAGCTCTACAACCAGGGCTGCCCCTTGCTCCTGGCTCCCCCTCACATTGTCCCACTGCACATGCCACCGACCCCAAGGTGTCCCCCACCTGAGCTGCCCCTGGGGAGATGGCCCTACCCGGTAGGTGGTGGGTGGCGGGGGCGGGATGCGGAGCAGCAGGCAGTTGGACAGGGAGATGTTGCTGTTGCGGTAGCAGCTGAGGTCCTGGCACCCCCACACCAGCTTGTAGACCTCCAGGCATGCCAGCCCAGCCACGGCTGCCGTGGTGGTGATGATGGCAGGCACGATCTGCCCGGCGATCCGCTTGCTCTGAGGAGAGGAGGGGTGTCACCAGCTGACCCGCCCAGGACAGGGACCCCACGGGCCACCTCTCTCACCGTCAGCCAGTCGGTGGGGGGGATGCCATAGTTCTCTGCGCGCAGGTTGGATGCTGCTGTGATAAAGTCCACGTGGATATCGTTGTCCTGTGGGGAAGAGTATGGAGACATGAGCATCCCACGGGGACATCAACCCCCCAGGCTGAGCAGGGCCACCTGCCCGGCTCCAGTACCTTCTCGAAGTGGATGGGCTCCATCAGGGGCACTTGTGCCTCCTCACAACCCACCAGCTCCTGTCTCCACTGCGCCAGGTCCTGGATGAGCTCTGTCAGCCCCCTGTGATCTGGGGGCACAGGGACCCTTGGCATGGTACCCCTGCACTGTGGCACTGCAAGGGGCACGGCAAGGTGCCCCCACCTCGGTCCAGGTCCTACTGGGAGCTGGAGCAGGGAGGAGCAGTCGTAGCCTCACCACCACCAGGCTGGACTGAGGGACCTGGACACATGCCCGAGGGGACCAAGGAGCGTGAAGAGCCTCACCTGTGCGCTCCTGTGCCTCCTCCTGCTCCTCTGTGAGGGGTATCTGAAGCGCTTCCTGGGGTGCAGAGGGTGGCAGAACCACATTGCGGAGGATGTCCTGAGCGGCATTCCGGTCCCTGCATGGTGGCACCCTGTGTACTTGGGCAAAGAGGTGGGCAGTGGCCAGGATATAATCCAGGTGAGTGTCCTGCAGGGCAGAACGGGGGCCATGGGACACCTTGCTGGGGTGGTCCCACATGGCCAAAGGCTGCCTGCACTGCCCTGAATTGGTAGAACAGTCTGGCTTTGTCCTAAGGTGGATATGGAGTAGCCTCTCCTCCTCAGGCCATACATCACATGCAGACTGTACCCAGAAGTGCCCTTGCTGATCAGGACAAGGACAGATCCAGCCCAGGACCTGGCAGCCCTGGACAGACTGTGGCAGAGGGAGCATGACCACAGTCCAGCATCCCCATACCCCTGGCACAGGCTCAGCTCTCCCCCAGCCCACACTGTCCCCCTGAGGGACCCCACAGTTCTCCCTGCACTCACATCGTCAGGGTTGAAAGTCAGTGGATGGGGACAACTCTTGTCCCCTGTCCAGAAGGGGACACCTGGGCTGGTTTCCTGGCACAGGGAGAGAAGAGTCAGGCCCAGGGATGTGTGCCCCTGGCTGCAGCAAGGTGGCTGGTGGCTGGAAGAGGTGCAGGGGTGCCAGCCCCATGGGCACTGGGCTCACATGCTCCGGGGGGTAGGTGTGCAGCAGCTGCACGATGGCATCGTGGTAGCGGCTCTGCCAGTGCTGGCGCGCCCAGAGCACGCAGTCCCGCCAGTCCCGCGGCCGCTCCCGCAGCCTGTCCCGCACCTGCTCCAGGACCTTCAGGGCCTTCCCTGCTGGCAGCTGCTCCGGGAAAGCCAGGTCTCTGCAAAACCAGGCACTGCTGATGCTGGCCTGAGAGCAATCCCAGGGGACACCTGGGTGGGATGCAGCAGTCTAGCATCCTCTCCCCAGTCCCAGCAGTGCCCTGGCAGGGCTGGCAGCTCCTCTCCCAGTGTCACTGCCCCCAAGTCCACTCACTCCATGAACCGGTTGACGTGCTCTGCAGGTAGCTGGAAAAGCCCCTCAAACTCATCACGGGCCCACTGTGGAGAGAGAGTGGGTGTTGAGCACTGGGACCCCCCCTCATGGCCCCCAACCCAAGCCCAGCAGGACAAAGAGACTATGGCAGGGCCAGCAGCAGCACTCAGGCTACCAGCAGGAAGCAGCTGGGGCCATATCCTGCCCGTGGCTCACTGCTGGAGGGGAAACAGGGAAGGAAGACAAAGGTCTCGGTACCTCCTTGCTGGATGCTGTGGCCGGGGTGGCTCAGCCTACCTGCAGTGTGTGCTGGATGGTGCGAGGGAAGTACCGCAGGGTGCAGGGCGCGAAGGTGCCATCCCTAGGGGTCCCACCTGGCTCCAGAGGCTTGGTCAGGTGGGGCACCATGGGCAGCACATTTCCTCGAGGCCCCTCCGTGCCCGAGTCCAGCAGCGGTGTGCGACACCGGAGGCAGCAGCTCTCCAAGTAGGCACCTGCAGGGAGCCAGGAAGGCTGGGGAGCCAGGGGGCACATCCAAGGGCTCAGCCCCTTTCCCCTTTCCAGCACTCACGGGCCTCCAGTGTGTCCAGGGCGCTGGTGACACCGTCCAGGCGTTGGAAGAAGTTGTCCCCATAGAGTGGCTCAGTGGCAGGTCCTACCTGGTTCTGCTGAGCTGTCACCCTGACATCGGGG